ATCTCTATTTTTATTTATCCAGTATGATGATGTAGGATTGTATAGGCCTCCTGGATGATACAGTTGAATGAATTAAAAGCTATCTCATCAGCTGTTAGCACATTTGTGTAAACACTTCATTTGGTAACAGACACATTTCTTAAGATCTATTGTTTACATGTGTTTGTCTTAACTGCATGACACATGGTTCAGACATGTGATCTGCTGCAAGGACCAATGTTTTTTTACATTAACAATGTGAAATAATCAGTGTCCTTAAGGGATGATTCATCCATTGTGACAACTGTATCTAATTTTAATGCGTTATTTATAATATCGTTGGGGAAACAGTCTATTTACACTGTTTTCCCTTCAACCGGGTGTTAATAAGATTCATCACATGTCCCTTCATTAACACCTATGTGATATTACAGTTTACTTTGTAGAAATATAGTTTTATTGTTGGTGTAATTTTGTATGTATGTTGTGCCACAATTTGTTCTGCACTAAAAGTTTAAAATATCCATTGAAACTGGGGTCTATTTTCGACGGCGGATGAATACCCCTCGATGACGTGTTGCCAGTATAAATGCTCCGGTCCCCCTGGCAACAGCAGTCAGAGAGCGGTGTTTCTACTGGAGAGCGGGACATCCCACTGAAAGGAATCGTAAGTATATTTTTCTGTTTTCAAAAATGTCATGAAATATATATATTCGAGTCGTCATTATCAGTTCTTCGACCATTTTATATCGTCGTCAAAGTTCTACTTCCTGACCCTTGTCTGTTTTAGCAGCTAGCTAACAGCTTCCTGAAGAATGACTGTAAACGGTCACTTGTCTCGCGACCGAAAATGACGCTTTTTAAACGAGTAATGTTGTTGAGCTGCGTTATGACTGAAATGCTTTGTTTTCCTCATACGCTGTCATTTAGAACAATGTCGTGAAAGACATTTGTTATCTGCTAACAAAGGCGCACAATTTCTAGCTGTATCGTCCATTAGGGTGTAACGTTAGCTGAAAAAAAAACGAAGGCAAACAACAATAGCTTATTTTAAAATGGCGCTGGTGCTCGAATCTCCGGCCTGCTACCAGTGAGTTCATGACAGGCAGCAGGATGGCGTCCCCTTCATCAGCCGTTGTAGAATAATAAGTAATGTTCCGAATAATGCAATAATTCATGTGTCAGGAAGCAGCAAGTAGCTATCTAAATGACCACATACAAGGCGTAGATGTAATTTAGTAATTCACTGTTTTAATGTAGGCGAGTCCGATTTTTTTCTGACACCTTTTTGATCTGTCTGACAAGCTTACAAAGTATGTTTTTTTTAAAGCTGTGGGCCACATTACAGTGAAGGATATCAGTAATGTCAAATACCCTTTTTTTGTTTTGTTTTTTGTACAGGTACAAACATGCAGATCTTTGTGAAAACCCTCACTGGCAAGACCATCACCCTCGAGGTCGAGCCCAGTGACACCATCGAGAATGTCAAGGCTAAAATCCAGGACAAGGAAGGCATTCCCCCTGACCAGCAGAGGTTGATCTTCGCTGGCAAGCAGCTGGAAGATGGCCGCACCCTCTCCGACTACAACATCCAGAAGGAGTCCACCCTCCACCTTGTCCTGCGTCTGAGGGGCGGTATGCAGATCTTCGTCAAGACCCTCACTGGCAAGACCATCACCCTTGAGGTCGAGCCCAGTGACACCATTGAGAATGTCAAGGCCAAGATCCAAGACAAGGAGGGCATTCCCCCTGACCAGCAGAGGCTTATCTTTGCTGGCAAGCAGCTGGAGGATGGCCGCACCCTCTCTGACTACAACATCCAAAAAGAATCCACCCTCCACCTTGTGCTGCGTCTGAGGGGCGGTATGCAGATCTTCGTCAAGACCCTCACTGGAAAGACCATCACCCTGGAGGTTGAGCCCAGCGACACCATCGAGAATGTCAAGGCCAAGATCCAAGACAAGGAAGGAATTCCCCCTGACCAGCAGAGGTTGATCTTCGCTGGCAAGCAGCTGGAGGATGGCCGCACCCTCTCTGACTACAACATCCAGAAGGAGTCCACTCTCCACCTTGTCCTGCGTCTGAGGGGTGGTCAATAAATGATTCCATGTTTCACTTGATTCACATGACAACCTAACTCAATAAAAGATGCAAGATTAACATATTTGGCGTTCTCCTATATTTTTTCCTCCACATTTTTCCACTAAAGTTACCGTTATATGTTTATATATTAACTCTGTAACACAATGGATACATAAGAAAAGATAATATTGGAAAGCTGGTATTTATTGTAGTCATATTCAAATGATTTAGACAGGATTAATGAGACATAGAGCTGAATGAGCTAGGATTATATACATGCTCCTATTATATTCCATATGGGCTGATTTTATTCTATTTACTTTTTTCCATGTTTGACAAGCAATTCAAGGTTCCACAGTGTATGAAGTACTGCAACCTGGTTTCTCATGAAAAGTCAGCCGATGTCAGTGACAACTATATTCAGTTTGTGATAACTGATTAAGTGTACAGGTCAGGTGCACATGCTTTAGTTTACCCAGACACCTCATCATGTAAAGCATGAAGTGATGTAATTAGTCCTGTAGTGATGTGTCTTGTTCAGCCGAACCTTATTGTTTCAGTAGCATCTCATAGCTCACATCCTGAACAGAAGGAAACATTGTGGTTCGATATCCTAATCCACCTTCAAGGTTTGACTCCTATGGACTCAGCATACTAATATACTGTGTTTATGAAGTGTATGTGAAAGTGAAATATCACATCCAACCACTAGATGTCAGTGGCTTCCTACTATTTCTCCACTGACCCTCTGGTTTTATGTGTTTGTAGTTGTCTCCTTTCCAGCAGCAGAACCAGTCTCACCTTTAAAGCTGCTCATTGTTTAATTATGAAACTGAATTACAAACAGCTGGAGGCTTAAACACATCTAAGGTTTTCTTAGTTCTTTATGAGCTTTTCTTTCTTGTTGTCAATGTAAATAAAGTCCACTAATTACAGAATTCCTCAAGGCAGGAACACCAGTCACGCTGCCCCACATCCCCTGTCCCCGTGGAGGCTGTGAAAAGTCAGGTCCTAAGAAAAGCGTATATCTGAATTTGGTTTATGTAAATCAAAAGCTGAGGTGATGGTTGTTTAGAGTCCTGTGAGGTCAGATGCCAATAACAAGTAAACGTAGTCAGTGTAGTGTTACAGGAGCAGAAAGCTCCAGAGACAGGATGACAAAGGAGAGCGTTCTCCTGACACGTAGTCTGGTGTTTATCTCCTACAGCTGCAGGGCCTAAATCCCACAGAGAGGCAGCAAGAGTAAAAGGAAAGGAAAGGAAAGGAAAGGAAAGGGGTGCCAGAGACCACCGGCTGTACATCAGGATCAGCAACACTGGAGCTGATGTTGGGATTCAGACACCTCAGAGGAAACGTGAAGCTGCATCCTCTGATCGACAGGCTTTCTGCTCAGAGCACCACCCTGTAAAAAGATGTGAAGTTATTTCTGGAGTTCAACTAATATTTCTAAGAAAAGCCATTAGTGTTTATCTGGATGATGAGGCCTAGAATGTAAACTCAGTTTACTGCACTAATAAATATCTGCACAGTGGAAGACAAAGGAAAGGGAGGGAAGGTATTTGCAGGGTTGGTGTTTTTCTAAATCATGAAGGCGACAGTAGAGGGAAAGATTAGAACAGGTGGATTAGTCTGCTCGAGCAAAACAGTCAAACAAAAAGTGTGTTATGAATGTATAATGAGGATTCAAGTAACTTTATTGTCATGCCAGCTCACATTTACATGTCTGTGGTACGAAATTAGTACTCAGGTCCTGGTTTTTAAAAAGCCTAATAAATAATGTAAACAATGTAAAACAAGAGCAAAGAGTAGAAATAGTACCAGTAGAAATATGAACAGTAAAGAAGAAAAGCCAAAATGAGTTATGTTTAGCACTAAATATTGGTGTAAACAGAGGTGGGCTGTAGATTGCATTTGTAAGAATGGAAATATTATGGTTTAGAATCATATTTACATCCCAGTGGATTACAATCCATTGGGTCAAAATGCAAAATAGGATAGAGAATGTACGCATCCAAAATACATGCTGAGAAAATATACCGAGGGAAAATATATATATGTAGGTAAACAAGTTAAGTGTTAACATATGGGGAAAAATGCACAGACTATACAGCCTGTAAACATAAATATGATGTGACTAATGTTGTTCTCACACATCAAAGTCAGTGTGAAGGTCTTTACCAGGAGCTACTCCTGCTTACATCCAGAAAAGTTGTATAAAGCCTCGTGGCTCCTGCTTTGTAAATAATGCAGTCACAGTAATGTGCCAGGCTTTGTTTTGTTTTATGAAACTATGTTTTAATGCAATACTAAATTATTGCAAGGATTTATATCGTTGGTCATGCGTTGCTGCATCAGTTACATATATAAAGGCAACAAAGACAAGTTGTCCAACTGTCCCTCGAGCTTCCATAAGATGGGAAAATGTTAAGATGCTCCTGTCAGTGACAACACCATGATCACAACCTGTCCAGGCCTGCTGCACAGGCAGGAGCACAGATGTGGCCCAAATGACTGACAAAGATGACAATATACAATATTCCTTGAAGCAATAGGTTGCATTGTCTAGTGTTTTGTTGCACACCCTTTTTCAATTAATCACTGAACTTAGGAGCTTTCTGTAAATAATGAGACCTCTCTGCTCCTCAGCTGGTTGGTTTCCCTCTCCAGATGATTTAATGCATTCCTTCTGCCAACTGTCGCTCTCTTTCTTGCCATAGATGGTCAGCTGGATGCAGATCAGGACTCGTAGCACTTCACTTCAAACCTCTGCAGTGTTTCCCTCTCCTTCATTCTCGGGTGCCTTTAGATGTCTGTTTTGGGTCATTATCCATGACCTGCCACTGAGACAGAGCTCCCTGACACTGTGTTTTGCTTAACAATGCTTTGATAATCTTCTGATTTCATTTTTTCCTGCAAAGATTCAAACCACCCTGAGCTACACAGAAAATTGAGCCTTGTCCATGTTTCACAGCCGGGATGATGGTGTTCTTTTGGAAGTCTCTTTTTTTTTCTTTAAACGTACAGCTTGCGAAAATGCTCTAATTTTTCTGAATCTGAATTACTTGCTTAGCTATTAGCTATGTAGTAGTTGTCTCCATGTAAGTGTCAAGTAGGTTGAAAAAAATGATCTGGTTACCTCCATTCATTTCTTTAAAGTGAATCAACTACACTATGCCATGTGGTCAGAAGGTGGTGGTATAGGCTGTGTTACATATGGCTGTATTAAACAGAGAGCAAGAAGCCAGAAAACCTTAAAGAAGAAGAAGAAGAAGAAGAAGAGGAAGAAGAAGAAGAAGAAGAAGAAGAAGAAGAAGAAGAAGAAGAAGAAGAAACCGATAAGTTTGTCAATCTACAAGATAAAAATGAAGAGAAGTCCCCAGTAAATGTTTTCAATCAGGAAAACTGTAATTATTCTTTCATGTCAGCTGATATTGGTTCATGCTGTGAAAACAGCTGATCAGTCACATAAGTTAAATGTTCTCTGTGTCACAACTTATTAAAATGAGAGGTTTCCATCTCTCATGAAGGACCTTTATTTTTTTGGAAAAAGTCAAAATCCACCTCAAGTGAGTGTAAAACCATCCATCCATACATTATCTATACACCGCTTAATCCTCACTACAGTCGCAGGCGGGGTGGAGTCTATTCTAGACAGACAACCAAACACACTCACATTCAAACCTACGGACAATTTAGAATCACCAATTAACCTCAACATGTGTTTGGACTTTGTGGGAAGAAGCCGGAGAACCCGGAGAGAACCCACGCTGCACGGGGAGAACATGCAAACTTTATGCAGAAAGATCACCGGGACGTGAACCGGTGACCTTCTTGCTGTGAGGCAATGGTGCTAACCACCATCCCACCTTGCAACCCCCATGCTCATCAGTTTTTTCAAATTCCATGCTGTATGGTATGGTAGAGACCTGCCAATCACAAGACTGCCACCTTCTATTGCACTCTAACATATGACCACACCACAGTTAACAAAATAAACATCAGGCTGTGTTACTTAAAAGTAATGATTGAGACCATAACTTAATTACAAAATCGTTTACTGAGGTAGCAAATCAAGTGAGAAGTAGAATCATTTTCTCACTGATCTCTATGCAAGTCCACTTCTTTTCGGATCCAGATGGAGTCGCCCCCTGCTGGCTGTTACAATGAATGCAGACCTGGAGGCCACATCCATCTTTCATCTCCAGTCCCTGGTGGCACCACCTTTGGCCCCCCACCCTCCGTCCCTGTGTGCACGGCCCTGCGTGTATTCTCCACAACAAATTGTTTCATCCCCCAGTGAAAAATAAATTGCAGCAGCATTATTTTTAGAGCAGAACATATCAGGCATCATGCAGCAGCAGCAGCAGCCTATCAGCAGTGTGGACTCCCATGTGATTTATCAGCAAAGCTTCTGCTCCACAGACCTGTGGCAGCCTCCCAGTGAGATGAATTTGAAATCAAAGCAAACAATAACAATAATAGTAACTTGTCCTCCACATGTCTGACCACTGAGCAGACTCAGGAGGAGCGGTGCAGTTCCTGTCTCGGTGGGTTTGGCCGCTGCATGACAAGTGAACCAGCTGTATATATGAGCTGGGAGCCTGGGAGCCGCTGTCAGTGTGTCCACGGTGCGGGGAGGAATGGCTGGCTGGGGGCTCTTCTTCACGTCTCTCCTCAACTACAAGACCGAGAAATATGTCATCGCCGAAAACAGGAGAATCGGGATTTTATTTCGGCTCTATCAGCTGGCCGTGCTGGGATACATAATCGGGTAAGAAGCTCTTGCATGTCTGCTTTGGGTTTTTTTTTCTTTTCCCGAACCGAGAATTAGAGAGGGATTCACAAAGTTAAAAATAGTAAGGCTTGTGGACGGTTTTTGAGTTTGGTGGTGGTGTTAAAGTGGCAGAGCAGTTTGAGGGGTTTTCAGGTTTGGAAGAGCTGTGAGATGAGAAAAGTTTGGAGAATTCCTGAATGTCTGCTGAGGACAGGAGGTGTCTTATGTCAGCTCTCACTCTGCTGCATGTTACATATGATGACACCTGATCAGGAGACTGGGGCCAGAGTTAAATCCAACACCTGGTTTGACCTGCTTTGTTTATAAAAGTGAAGTCCAGCTGTCAGATGAAGGTGTGGCGGTGAAATCACATGTGGCCCTACATGGCCGGTACCTCTCATGCACACACATGCTGTTTTTATTGTCATGCCACACTGGGGGTGGCAGAGAAACTGATATCTTGTTAGATTTTCCTTTTCTGTGTGACGGATCGCTGCAGCTCAGTGCTGTTGCTCACCTTCTTTTATCATTGGCTGAAGCAGACACGACTGCCTTGGACAAGTCCTTCATGAGAACTTATGTATTACAAGCTTTTCATGTAAACCATTGTTGTAGAAATCTGGACAGGTTGTTGCAAATTGTACTTTTTTACTTGACATTACAATTTAAATTTGACTAAGCTTATATAACTCCAGTTCTACCAGTACATGCATGACCCTCTAAAGGGTTACACTCTGGGTTCTGTCGGGGGCTCGACTTTAGTCTGAGATCATTGTGGCCACCGCAGACCACCGTCTGGCTTCACACCTGGCCAAATTTGTGTGCATGTGCTAAACAGTTGCATAATATTCGTAGCTGCTTGCATAAAACATTCTGCAATCCAGTGCAGGACGTCAGCTCAGCTCCGTCCATCTGCCAACATGCTGGTGAGCCCAGTGTTCTGTCAACCCGTGGTCCTGGACAAGCTGCCCAACATGTGTACCAACCCACAGAAATGTAATAAATACTTTTAAACTAACCGGAAAAGGCTTCAAAAAGTGATGAAGTTTGGATGAATGTCTCAGGTGGGTGTTTGTGGTGAAGAAAGGCTACCAGGAGAGGGAAGAGGCCGTCCAGACCTCCGTCATCACCAAGCTTAAAGGTGTCACTCTGACCAACACTTCAGATGGTGGATCTTACCTGTGGAGCGCCGAGGATTATGTCATACCACCTAATGTGAGTATATTCGTGTCCTGTATGTTCCTGCTGACTTACTTTGATAAATTGTGTTGCTGTGAGAGGTGTGAATTTAGTTTCTGTAATGAGAACAGTGAGAGATTCAGTCTGCACATAAACAACGAATCCAGCCCTGGAAAAGCAGACAAACCTGAAACTGTCAGCAGTAACCCTCAGGCCACACACTCACCTTTTAAAAGTTTGCATTTGAACTGGCTTTACTACAAAGTACACACAATAAATACAAGAAACAAGCAGTTTAAAAAAAAATATCTGTAAACACAGAACAAAAACACTTCCTACAAACTGAAAAGTCAAAACAAGTCCCCCCCC